AAATCGATAGCTTTGATTGGGACGAGGACTTCACAGAACAAGTAGTGCAATACCTGGACGCCATTGAAGCCGCTCTTCAATCCTCCACCAGTACGTCTTCATCTTCCTCTCTCATCAAGAAACGAAAATCCACCGCTGAAGAAGACAGCCCTGCAATCCGCCGCCAGTTGCCCATCTCCATTCTCGCTCCCCCTCGTTCTCTCTCACGTTGCCAAGGTGCAAATTTGCTTGCTTCTTTTCAAAATTCTTGCTTTCCCCCATTTTGCTTCCAAAGGTCATAGTGAGATTTTTTGCTCAGAATATTGCTTCTTTATCCAGGAAAGTGAAGACTGGATATGGGTTTTGTGATATCTTGCTTGTGTTCCTGTCATTTCTAGACTAGGTGGAGTAATTTTCTCCAAAGATTAATTCTCATTCTAATGTGTTTTTCCCATGTTAGTAGGTTATTTGATCATATATTTTAGTTTGTTAGTTGAAATGTTAATCATGTTCTCACTGGCAGAGAATTCAAGAATGAGATATCCTGTGTTAAGATTTGGAGGAAGTATTTTGTATAGCAGAACTACTAAGGACGTAGAGAAAGCTGCAACAGAGCTTTTGCAGTGTCTTAAAGCTAAGAAAAATGAAGCAGGTCTGCATTGCTTTATTTTCTGAATTGTTTATAATCTCATGAAATTGGTGAGTTTGAGTCTAAGCATTTACTTACCACCCCATACCCCAGCCAAAAACTTCACTAAATATGAAACCTTATTGTAAAGAATTGAGGATCATTGCTTTGCAATTTGCATGCCACAGAATAAGAGCTGGACATTGCATGGTCTGCAGGTCGTAATTCCTCCCCTCTAAGGGTTTACCAATGACAATTCTATATTTTGCTGAGGATTGTACCCAGCATCCATAACTGTTCATCATGTCACCTTTGATATGTTTGTGTTAGAAACTTGGATTTTTTGTTTTCCTGCTTTTCATCCTGGTGTTAATCAATTATCATTCTTACATTCAAATTCTACCGAACAGAAGTAAGAACAGGAGAACCTGTTTGCCCATGTCTATGCAAGTTGTAAGCACCCATTGCTTTTTCTCCTACATTGTGCTTGTCCAGGTTGTTAGGTGGCCAACTTCCTAACTCATCACATGTATGTTTTATGTTTTGTACTTTTGACCTTTTTGTCAAGAATAATATTTTCATTCAGATCATCTCTCTATATATTTATTCCCTTTCCAGTATTTGAAAGTTATGACTATAACTTATGGGATCCACAGGCCATTGGATTGAATAAGAGGGAGAGGCTTCAATGATATATAAGCACAAAATTTTGTCCAATGTCTAATTGAACTGAGGGAAAGGCTCTTCTGAGGGCTTATGAACGAAAACCATAGTTACATTGAAATTAATTAAATACGAAAGCTTCATTTCCTTCTCTTTTCCTCATTTTTGAGCAAATGCAGAAGGGTCATTGTCAGTTTGTTTAGGAAAATGCACTAAGACTGGACGTTTTGCTTAATAACTATATTTTGTTAAAGTCTTCTTCCTGCAGGTATTATGCCCGGGAAGGCTGCAGTGATGCAGATATGTTGTGACACTAGCTTCTGTCATATCATGCATATTATTGATTCTGGAATACCTCCAAGTCTGCAGTTTCTTCTTGAGGATTCTTCAATATCAAAAGTGGGTTATGCCTTTCACAGTAAGTTTCAGATTTTCAACATAAGTGCACAAATTCTATTTGCATTTTGTATTTAGTATGTTTTATTTTATTATATCAATAAGACATGGACAGGTTGGAGTTGCAGTTGGTGGTGATGCGGTCAAGATTTTCAAAGATTACAATGTACCTGTTAAGGCTGTGGAAGATATATCATACCTAGCAAATCAAAAGCTAGGCAGAGGTTGCCAAAAGTGGAGCCTTGCATCTTTGACAGAGGAGCTTGTTTGCAAAGAGGTATGCATCTAGTGTAGCTTATGCAAAGCTTGGTGGTAAATTCTGGATAAGTTTCTTGAAGACAACTTTAGGCAAATAGATTACATGTGGGATTTTTCTTTGGCAAATTGGTTGTCTGGCTACTTGATCTTGTCAATCTAAATAAGTTTCTTGATGGATTGTCTATCTTTTGTTTCCATCCACAATAATGTTAACTTCAAACAAAGTTTGTTGCGTAACAACCATGTCCAAAAGCTTTACTTATTGCCTAATCACTAGCCTGTTGGCTCATTGAGATCAAGACTTCGTTCCCCACCCTCTTTAAGATGCTATTGCAATTATGATTCTTGTCTTCTTGTTGTTACTTGTAACCACTAAGTGATCTTCTACTTCGTAGTCGTGATTATATGGAGGTCTGTACAATGTTTAATCTCACAAACACATAATATAATATTGACATTCTACTTGTATATAATATCTAATTTCCTGGTTTGGTTTCGAAGTCTAGACATATAGTTGTAAGATCTTATTGAAGTTTGTAATTAACAGCTTCAGAAGTCCAAGAAAATAAGACTGGGAAATTGGGAAGTTGGCATTTTATCCCAAAAGCAACTAGAATATGCTGCAACACATGCTTTTGCCTCATAGCATCTCTACCAGGTAATAAACAGCCACTGCATTACTCTGGATATTGATTGGCTTTGTAATTACTGTTCTTGCTTTGTTGCCATGCAGGTTTTGATGAACTTTCCGGATATAGCAAACAATGCAAACGAAAAGGAAGTAAAAGTTCCCTCATAACAATGAAACTTGGTCAGCAAAGCTAATGTGCCTAATTTATATTTTACATTTTAAATTGATAATTGATCCTTGGATACGCACATATGTGCTGTGTCTCTGTATTCATCATGGACGGTGGACATATAGACCTAGGTTGATTGTGTCGTGTCCTCAACCTCAGTGACTGAGTGCAAAGGGGAAAATTGGATTGTGGAAGTGAATGCAGAAAGAATTTGTGCATTTGCGTGGGCCTTTGCTTTTCTTCTTGTACTCATATATCTTGTTTCAGTGGCCATGCGACCGAATGAGATCCCATTCTTTCTTCCAATGAATTAGACATCAATGACCCATGTCATATCCCTTTGTTTTCCCTTTTATTTACACTAAACTGATTTAAGTCTCAAAACACCCCTTCACAATCCAGCAGGATGGTACAAAATCAAAATGGACTCTCCTATGGCTAAATTTCAAAACGTTTCCTTCCACTTGCTTGTTATTTCCTAAGCTAGTGTGATAATGCGGTGCTGCTGGGGGATAAATTTTACCCTTTTAGCAGATTTCCTCCTAAAATTGCCATGCCGGAGTAAATTTTTATTTAAAAAGATATCGATATAATTTATTACTTTAAATTTCTTATTTTTAAAAATCAATCTACATTTAATAGTAATAAAAATTTGAAATAATAAATTATGTTAATATTTTTAAACAATAATTAATTTCAACGTGATGATTTTGAAAGTAATTTACATATTTGGCCTTTTTAGCATGACTAAAGTTTGACTCTTCGACCCTCTGGGCAAAAAGCACCGCTTGTACTACTCGTAATGCCCACCCAAAAAAGGCCAAAAAAGGTTTGAAGAAATCATTGGAAGGCTCCAGTAACTCGAGAGGGAACTGTCCAAGGGTCAGCATTTCTAATTTTTACGGTTTTCCTTCGAGGGCTGGGCTCGGTGGTCACAAATATATATAGGCTTACTCGAGAGGTGGGTTGACGTTATATATTAAAAAATAGATAACTATTTTAATTTATAATTTTAAAAAATAATTTATTTTTTTAAAAAAGCAAATTTATTTTTATTTTTTATTTGAGGGATGAATTTCAGAGTTTTGTTAATATTTTAATGTTAAAATTTTAATTATTTTTAAGAGTCAACATTAATATATACTTTTTTCTTATCATAATTCAATTTTTATATATTTTATTTATTTTGAGTTAGCCAATAAAAAATAAAATAACATTTTTTTTAATTTTTAATTTATCCAACTCATATGTCATATAATTTGAATTGAAATTTTTTTTTTATATAAAAAGTTTATCATTAAATTATTTAAAAGATTGACTATATAAGTTGCCTAATTTATATTTAAATAATTTATTTTACAATATAATCCAAGTCGGATAGTAAAATATTAACCATTAATTTTAAAATAAAAATGCTCAAACCTCAAATTCAGGAACTCTCCATCATTAATAGCTTTAATTGTGGGACCTTTATCAAGTTAGATCACAGAACTGCTGTCAAAATTTACAAGGATTTTTTTAATTTGTGTAATAAAAACATAAATTGGGTATAATTATTATACTTTTTTAATATTAATTAATATTTAAAAATAAAGCTTAACATTTATTTAATTCACTATCTTTTTTTAATTTTTACCCAAAAAAAAAAAAAAGCAGCTATATAATTTAATTCTTGTTAGAGGCACAAAAAAATGGTAACTTCGTTAATACAAGAATGAATATTCATTCATTTCAGGCTAAATTTTATTCAATCA